GAAAAGACAAAAACGATCGAGTGAATCAAGATGAAGGAAAGATGTTTATGTTTGTTGGAGCAGAGGAGATGCTGCACAATTCACACAACGATCTCAAACAAGAAGTTCTCAAAGATGTTAAAACTGGGTGGTCCAAACGGCAAGCAAGACATTCACTGCATGAACTTTGAATATCACAGAATCAATGATGAGTCAGAAATCAACACAAGACCAAACTTGGTAATGAACATCATATGTTTCTTTTCGATCTCATCACCTGAACTGTGATCTCGGGGGTCAGAAGAATTTTCCTGCCGTCCCTGTACGATCTATGTGGCAAAAGGTTGAGTATCGACAGACTGAATAACATTTTGATATAACAAGAGAAAAGAATAAAATCGTATGCAAAGGTACAATAAATATGTACCCAATCTTGCAAGGTTCCATACAAAGATACAGATCACAATCGCGGGTTTAAATGTTGAGGTTGCGAGAACAACAAAAGATATCAGTTAGATGAGAAGTACCTGAACGTCACTCCTTCCTCTGTCACGCTCATCACAGTTGGAGAGTGTGTTTTCCCCCTTCCTCCCCTTCAGAGCGATCGAGTCAGGTCAAGATAAAAAGTAGAAGAGAGAGAAGAATTGGAAACTAGAGAAGCAGAAGAATGAATTGAAGGATAAGGAGAAGGAGAAGGAGAAGGAGAAGGAGCAGGAGCGAGAGCAGGAGCAGGAGCATGAGCATGAGCAGGAGCAGGAGCAGGAGCACGAGAACGAGCACGAGCACGAGCACGAGCAGCAGAAGAAGGAGCACGAGCACAAGCAGGAGAAGAGAAGGAGAGGACGATGATGACATTGAAGAGGAGAAGGAAACTAAAGTGAAAGGGGAGGAAGGGAAGAAAAGCATAACATCATGAACATAAAACAAGGAACACAACTCACCCTTTGATGTTCAGATCATCAGCTACTGATCCATGCGCAAGAGAAAACACCTAAAATGACAACACATCAATTTCTCCTCTACACCTCCTCCTCTCCCTCACTTGAAACCCTCCGCTGTCCGTGATCAACGGCCGGTTCTCGTCCCTGCCCATGAACTTGTGCAGGCCCCCAGCCTCCTCCACGATCTCAGGGCCAGGTTGAAGGAGGAGGTGATAGGTATTGCAAAACCTTTGCAAACAACGTCAACAACACGGATTGAAACAGATCATAATCGTACATCAGCTGTTGATTTGCAATCTGATCCATCAAACGATGGTCAACAGCCTTCTGTGCTGCAATCGTTGCTACAGGAACGAACCCAGGTGTGTCGATGGTCCCGTGAGGAGTATGAATCCTGTGACAACATCATCTTCGACATTGTTATCATCATTATCATCATCTACATTCTCAACATCATCATCGTCGTCAACATGCACATTATGTACATCGTCGTCGTCGTCGTCATCATCATCATCATCATCATTATCACCACCACCACCACCATCTACATCTACATCATCATCATCATCATCATCATCATCGTCATCGTCATCGTCATCATCGTCAAACCTTCCAACTCTTGCATTTGATCTCTTCGACTTGTGGACGAGCTCATATCGGAAATAATCTACTTGTTCAAATGGTGGAAAGGAGGAGGCAGGAGGAGGAGGAGTCAGAGGATCAAAATATATCTTCTTCTTCTTCTTCTTCTTGTCCACCTACAATGCGACCAGTCGGCAAAACAGCAGTCAAGGGCGACAAAACATCACCTTCACTTCATTCGGCTGTTCTTCATCACATCTGAGTGTTTGGAAAGCATGTTTCTCAACATTTCGGCACATCGTCGGCAATCTCCTGCCTAGCTTTCAGAAAATTTCTCCGGGATTCTCCTTTACTTTGTATTCACCTGTTCGGAGTAGCAAGCAACCCTCCCTGGATCCAGCAGCATGATTGAAACTTTCCCATCCCTCCTCCTCCTCTATGAACCATTGTTCCTGATCCTCCTCCTCTCTCCGCTGCTGCTGCTGCTCCTCCTCTCCCTAGCGCAAGCACGAGCGCCAGAGCTATCCCCGACATTTTTCGGGGGCCGATGAGAATTGATAGGGGTAGGGTTGAAGAATGAGGGTACTATGTAAAAAGGGCATACTACTACCCCAAAAGTACTACGTTAGATATTGGGTGATCAATGGAAAAATTGAATAAGGTGGGGTGGGGTGCATTCGAAGGGGGGTGAAGACTTTCAGGGGTACAGGAAGGAGCAGGACCATTGCTTAGAGCAGCTCCGGAGCAGGAGCGGGAGCAGGATCAGGAGCGGGAGCGGGAGCAGGAGCAGGCTCCGGAGGAGGAGGAGGAGGAGGAGGAGGAGGAGGAGGAGGAGGAGGAGAGAGGAAGGGGGAGGAGGAGGAGGAGGAGGAGGAGGAGGAGCACAGGAAGGATGGAAGGGAGAAGGTATGAGAATTGAAGAGTAGCAGGAGCAAACGATTCTGATAGATCTTCCGGTAACTGGGAAAAGATTGGAATTTATCAAAGAATAAGTTAGTTCGTCTTTTTGCAGTTCGTAGCTCACAGATGTATAAGAACAAGTCAAAACTCCTCGTTACCGACAGCAATATCAAACCATCCCAGCAATCCCTGCTAGAGTCCTTTGCAGCAGCACACCACGTGTGAAGGAGTGTCAATTTGGGTTCAGTCTTGATAGAGAACTTCCAGTTCAGAATATTGATCTGTCAGCGATGAAAACCGAGAGAATTTCTTGGTCGATTCCTCCTGTACAGCTGATGTTGTCTGCCTCAGTCTTCTCCGCACCTGCGACGATGGCTTGAGGGAGGAGGAGGAAGAGGGAGGATGGGGGAGAGGAGGAGGGATGAAGTACAAACAAGTGCGAAGGAACTTAAGGAGTCCAGCAAGACACAGGATAGAGAGAGATACGAACACAAGAGGGGAGGCAAGAGGAGAGGAGGAAGGAGGGAGGAGAGGAGGAGGGAGGAGGGAGGAGGGAGGAGGGAGGAGAGAGGAGGGAGGAGGGAGGAGGGAGGAGGGAGGAGGGAGGAGGGAGGAGGGAGGAGGAGAGGAAATTGAGGAGGGAGGATAGAGGATGGTTGATGGAGGAAGGAGGTAAAAGGGAGGGAGTAAGAAGAAAGGAGGGTGGAGGGAGGAGAGAGGGGAGAGAAGCGAGGGATGGGGCAGGAAGGAGGGAGAAGGCGGAGGAGGGAGGAGGCAGGGGTGGTTCCTTCCCTCGTTATCTCACCTATCACTGCTATCATTCCCATCCGAGCTGCGAGGTGCAATGGAGTTCTGCCGTACTTGTCTGCCGCGTTCACGTCCGCCTTAGCGGCTGCCAGGAGCTCGACGCTCTTCCCCATGCCGTTCCATGCAGCTGAGGTATCGGTGAGAAGAGAGAAAAGAAGGGGACGGAGAGGAGGAGGAGGAGGAGGTAGGAGGAGGAGAATGGCGAGGAGGATGACGAGGATGTGAACGATAGGGAGGAGGAGGAGAGCGGCGACGAAGATGAAGAGGACAACGAGGAGGCGACGACAAGGAGGAGAAGGACGAGGAGGAGGAGAAGGACGAGAAGAAGCAACAAGAGTAAAGGCGTCTTGCCATATCTTACCGTAATGCAGTGGCGTATAACCGGAGGAAGAAGCAGACGAGTCGTTCACCAGCTCCTGCGAGCACACGGCCAACACCTCCTTCAGCTTGTCCACATTCCCATTCTTTGCTGCCTCGCTAAGGGACACGAGGAGGATCTCAACGTCGCTCATGCTGCTGCTAACGTTACCATAACGTCATCGCCTGCTGGCATGTCGTTAGCGCTGACGGTAGCCAGTGAAGATGCTGTGCTTCGCCTCCTGTTCCTGCTACATGCTCGATTTTGGCGCTCGTCGTCGCAATGAATGCTCATCGCCAACATGCTCCCTCTGCTCCTGCTGCTGCTGCTCTTGTGCCTGCTCCTGCTCCCCTGCTCTCCTGATCTCCTGCTCTCCTGCTCTCCTGCTCTCCTGCTCTCCTGCTCTCCTGCTCTCCTGCTCCTGCTGCTCCTGCTCTCGCAATCTGCCATGTCTCTTCCTCCTAGTGACTCCGCCTCAGGTGGATTATTCTCCCTCCTGTTCCCTCCCAGGTTCCCTCCCTTGGCAGGATGCTCCTGCTCCTCTTGCTCCTCCTCTCCTCTCCTCTCCTCTCCTCCTGCTTCCTCCTCCCACCACCAGCCATGCAGCCATCTCGTTCGCCTTCCAACGCATCTCCCCTCCTCCAGCTACAGCAGCAAGTGTATCAACCTTCCCCCGACATGTCGGATGCTCAAGAGGAGGAAGGTCGCTTCGCTATCCTACATCCCATGGCTGATCCCTTTCCCTCCTACTTCCCTGCCAACACCTGCTTCTATCCCAACCCCCTTCTCCTCCGCTTCTCCTCCGCTTCTCCTCCGCTTCTCCTCCGCTTCTCCTCCGCTTCTCCTCCGCTTCTCCTCCGCTTCTCCCCCCTCCCCTCCCTCCCTCCTCGTCCTCCTCGTCCTCCTCGTCCTCCTCCTCCTCCTCGTCCT